ACACACACACTGACTCTCACTGGGGTACGGGGTCCCACACACACACTAACTCTCACTGGGGTACAATTCCCCGCACATTGACTCTTATTGTGGCATGGGCCCCAAACCCACTGGTTCTCTGTGGGTTATGGGTCCCACATGCGCTGACACTCATTAGGGTACAGTTCCAAACACATTTATTCTCACTGGAGTGTGGGGTCGCACACAGACATAAACTCTCACTGGGGCAGGGGTCTCACATACACTGACTGTCACTACAGTCCCACACACACACTGACTCTCACATGGCTATGGGGTCCCCCACACACTGACTCTCACTTAGTTACAATCCCACACACACTAACGGGTCCTACAGACATTCTGAGACTCTGGGGTACAGTATACTGACACTGACTCTCACTGGAGTACAGTCCCACATGTGCTGAGTCTCACTGGGGTACAGTCCCACGCATGCTGTCTCTTACTGGGGAACGGGTACCACATGTATTGACTCTCACTGGGATATGGATCCCGAAAACACTCTGACTCTCCCTGGTGTACAATACTACACACACTGTCTCTCATTAGGGTACTATTCCCCACACATTGACTCTCACTGGGTTATGGGTCCCATACGCAATGTCCCATGAATTCAAACCCATTTCTCCCACACCAATCTTAAAGCCACACATTTACCTGCATAATCCTATTGATGCTGTGCCAATTAGCTCATGGCACAGGTAGTAATCCAGAGATTATTACCTTTTTGGTTCTGCTTTTTAGTTTAGCTCCTAGCTGTTCATACTCCCTTAGCAGAACCTCTGTCCTAGTTTTATATCTGTCATTGGTTTCTATGTTTACCATGACAACTGGATCTTTACCCTCCTACCGTAAGTTCCTCTGCAGCCCAGATGAAATATCCAAATCCAATTTTGTGATAAAAATTTAAGACTATTTCATTGTGGTTTAATATTATAGCCACAAAATGTAAAAAAAAATTTGGCAAGATCAAGGTTGTAGTCTCAAGGCAAATATGAACAAAGTAGAATGATCAAAGTAAACTTGTCTCGGATATAATTGTTATAAAAAATCAATCTACATTTAATGTAAATCTATCCTTACTGTTGATGTACTATCAGAAAGCATTAAGAAGAAATTTTTTGATAGAAAATAAAAATGCCTCTTAAGGATACTTTTAATTTCTGTGTTTAGTGAGAGGTGTGTTGAATAGTGTTTGATACATATATTAAAATCATTTCTGGAATTCAGATCTTTTAAAGAATAAAAGCAGATGCATTTTTATTACAAGGTTAGAAAGTAAATTTGGAACAGTCACATTAATGCATCAGTTCTAAGGAGGTGTGTGATTGAGATTAATTCCTGTGGTGCTAACGGATAAAAATGTTTATACTATTGGTTTTACAGCAAGCAGAATAAATGCATTAAGGCAATTAAGTTTGATTTTGATTTTGATTTCAGAACGAGAGCCTCAAAGTTTTAAAATAAAATCAGAAATGCAGCAGACCTGGTAGAATCTATAAAATTAACATTTTGAGTCCAATATGACTCCTCTTTAGAACATATTTCGAATAGAGAATCATACAGTCATATTGAACTCAAAATGTTTAGTCTGATTCTCTCTCCACAGATGGTACTGAGTTTCGCCAGCACTTTGTGATTATTCTTAATTTCAGATCTCCAGCATCTGCAGTATTTTATTTTTGTTTTAGGGCTCAAAGTTTTAGTTCAGAAGAATCAGGAGTTGAATTCGGAAGCAAGTTTTTGTTTTCTCTTAGTTGGAGAGCCATGTATTTCAGTCAGTTCAGGGGAACCAGTCACCTGGGCAGAAGTGGTTTCTAGTCTATGGCACTCCCAATGCCAGAGAGTTTGGAGAGAAATCTTCAAATTGTTAGAACTGATTAGAATCCATCAGAATTGTGAAAGATTTGCAGCAGTGGAGTCAGAAAGTAATTATGAAAAAAAAGTCTTCACAGTCCAAGGACAAGAAACTGGAAACCATTAGTTAAGTAAAAATTTTGAAAAGCTCAGATAGGTGTGGTATCTTTTTGTGTAATGTCTATAATCAATGGTGCTGGAAGACATCAAATTTTGTATTGATGTTAAATGTGGGATGTGCTGGGGCCATTCATTGTCCACATGATCTTGATGGGTTGACAGTCAGGTTTGGAGATATTACTGCTAGGCCATGATGTGTCTGTGTTTGTGATATTCCTAAACAGAAACCAAAAGAACTGCGGATGCTGTAAATCAGGAACAAAAACAAAGTTGCTGGAAAAGCTCAGCAGGTCTGGCAGCATCTGTGAAGGAGAAAACAGAGTTAATGTTTCAGGTCCGGTGACCCTTCCTCAGAACTGTTCTGAGAAAGGGTCACCGGACCCAAAATGTTAACTCTGTTTTCTCCTTCACAGATGCTGCCAGACCTGCTGAGCTTTTCCAGCAACTTTGTTTCTGTGATATTCCTGCTGGTTTGTGATGGTTCTGTGGCATTCCTGCTGGTTTGTG